GCCACCTAAAAAAAAACCATGCCAAATTTGGGGGACAAATATTTAAGCAAAAGTAATAGCAAGTGTTTATTTATTGATTTGAGAGAGAGAGAGAGAGAGAGAGAGAGAGAGAGAGAGAGAAACATCAATTTATTGTTCCACTTATTTATGCACTCATTGGTTGATTTTTAAATTTTTTTTTATTGTTTATAGTACTACAGATATCTCACATCCCCCCTTTACCTACCTATTCCCAGCCTCTACCCACCCTCTAGGTCTTCACCTCCCTATTGCCCATGTCCATGGGCTATGATATAATTTTATGTGCCCTGACCAGGGATTGAACCTGCGACCTTGACTTATCGGATCGACTCTCTAACCAACTGAGCTACCTGGCCAGGGCACTATTTCTGAGTATATATATATATATACAAAAGAATTCAAAGCAGAATCTTGAAGAAATATTTGCACACTCATGTTAATTGCAGCAATATACACAATAACCAAGAGATGGCAGCAACCCAAATGTCTATTGACAGATGAATGGATAAACAAAATGTGGTGCATACATGCAATGGCATATGATGCAGCCTTAAAAAAAGAAGGAAATCTTGTCACATGCTACAACATGAATGAACCCTTAGGACATTATCATAAGTGAAATAAGTCAGTCACAAAAGAACAAATACTGTATTATTCTACTCACAAAACATCTAAACTAGTCAAAATCACAGAATCAGAAATTAGAAATGTATTTGCCAAGGCTAGTGTTTACTGGGAACAAAGCTTCAGTTGTGCAAGATGAGAAAGTTCTAAAGATGTATTGCACAGCATCATGAATATACTCAATACTACTGAACTGTATGCTTAAAAATTACTTAAGATACTAAATTTAGGGTTATGTTTTGTTTTTTTAACACACACACACACACACACACACACACACACACAAATTAGCTGTGCAAAGTATAGTTTCAAAAAAAGAACATGCACCTGGGCTAGTCTTCTAATTATGCTCTAATAAATATATGTAATTCTGGAATTGTAGTTCTGTTGTAACTCACAGTTGATTGATCAAGTCTTTATGGCCAATGAGTAGTATAGTACTGAGCAATTATACAGATAAAAGTATAAATATATATATATATATTATATAGACAAATGTATAGATGGATGTATAAATCATGAGACATATCTTAGGAGTTTTATACTGAATTTATTATTTTTCTTAACACAGAGAGAGCTATTGGATTGTAGGGGCAAAACTTAATGGCGGTTGAAACCAAAGTGAGAATGATGATTCACATCTTGGTGTGACAATTCCAGTTGGGGTCTGGGCGCATTTCATTCTGTTTTGCCTGACATCAAGATTTCAATGTACATGGCTCATTAGTGCTTGTAGACATTTCTATAATGGCAATTTATTACACGTTCAGGTGACAGAAGCTGTCCTTTGAAGAATTGCTTTCTGACCTCCTCCTCTTTCAACCCACAACACCTGCCGAATGAAGTGGCCTGTTCCCACACAGATACTGGAAGTTTTTGTGTACAGAAGGCGAGCAGGGCTGAAAAGCTCTGGCAGGAAGGTTTCTGCAGACTGCCTGTGGAACTGCATGGATCAACAAATTCTCAATTAGAGGAAGATAGAGACGAAGATAAAGTATGTGGGGACTGCAAAGCTTCAAGCCGCAGCTGAGGAAGATTTTGAGAACATCTGGTTGATCTATTTCTTTGTAGGTAAGTATTCCTTTCTATAGCCTGCATACAGAAAGCATGAAATTGGCTTACCCAGCCTCCTCCTAACAAGGGGGAAGCTGGTTAGATTTATGGCTCCTTTGATGCAGGTCTGGAGAGAGCGGGGTGGCATGTGGCATTCCCACCGGAGGCCCCACCAAATCCTTTGGACTCCTCTCGGAGGGAACATTTGTCTGCCATATCAAATCCGTTTTTAAGAGCCTGTCCAGGTTGGCAGTGTGAAAGATCATTCCAAAGAAAAAAATAAAACTCAATTCATGATGTTTAATTTTCCCCCATGAAACTTATGTTTGAGCAAGAGATGCCATCAACACAGAACTTCCCTCTCTCTTAATTTTTAAAATTGGTTCTTTGTGTATGAGGCTCATTCTCTTGAACTGTTCATTTTAAAATGTTGTTCACTTTAGGCAATACATGCTGAATGAATTGTTTTGTCTGTATCTAGCTTCATTTTGTGTGTTCATAGCATCCCCAAATGACCAAACTGCATTGCTCTTTTAATATGTAAGACTGTAACTAACAGGCTTCAGAATGCGCCCCTGCTTTAGAGATATAGCATAACCAACCAATCAAAGCAAAGCTCCAATTATTTTAAAATTATATGAATAGACAGCAAAAGGAGAACTGAATTCAAATTAAGGTTTCCCAGTACATGGCAAAATTTTAAATCCTTACACTAGAAAAGTATGCTTCATTTAATGATAATTGCTTACATGGCATTGTGTTCATGTTATTATCTATGCTAGAATAATTTGAAATCAGCCTCAGTTTATGAAGTTCACACTTATCATATTTACCCTGTCACATCCAAAATGCTTTAAATGTTCATCTAGAATGAACATCGCTTTAAAATCAATGTACATACACAAAAGGAAATGTTTCTAATTTGTGCTTTTAATTTACTGGTTCATTTCCCATGTACCTAAACTGTCCTTTACTCAACAATCATGCAGTCGGATAATTTGCATACATTCCTGCATTTTCTCATTATTCTTTAGCTCTTAAGAGAGTTCTGAGTTTCAGCTATAGCTTACACAAAATTTAGCCTTGTAATGAAGGAGGTCTCTAATTTATGCAAGGCTTTCTGTACTATAAAGAAAGGAAATGATTAGGAACTTTTTACACTCCAGGAGGGAGTGAGATTAGGTGAAGATAGAGCCCTGCAGAGTTAAAACTAGTCCAGAAGCAAAGAAAGGCTTAGCGAATCACAGTGAATTTCAGGGTACAGTTAATCTATACTGTCATCTTTGGGTCTGCTATAAATTTTCATTAAACAATTAAGATTCAACTGTATTGAAATAACCTGGAATCTTTAGGTTTCATCCAAGAGATAAACTAGAAGTTGAATCAATACAGAGGATTAATCTTTTCACCTGCATTTGCTTATACCCAGAAGGGGAAAAAAACAGCCCCGCCTCAGTTCAGGAGCCACCATTATTGTGAATTATCCAGTTCCCCTTTCTTTCTTTCCTTCCCCACAGTGCCCTGCCCGCCTTTTTGGTCATTAGCATCTTAGCAGAAGAGAAAGAGGAGGAGAATAGGATACTTGATAACAAAAGTGGCAAAGAGGTTTAGGAGAAGTTAAAACTAAGAGTTAAAAATAAATTTTAAAACGATCAATGCGTTTGACCCATGCTGGGCCCATCATCATCAGAAGTAGTAATTAAGAGTTAGCCAAGTGACTGCATCTCTGTGACAGTGTCAGCACTGCCCCTAGGTCCATTCTCTCTGAAATTGGAGGTCTGGTTCATCAATAACTGGGGTTTAGGAAAATAAGGGACAATGAATCCCTCTTTTATGAAATAAGGAGGTTCAAATGATAATTACTATTGTGTAACCTGCTCTAAAATTCTTTCCTAAAGACATTTCTCAAAAGATACAGATATCATCTAGTGGCATATTTATGATTTTCACCTTAAAGTTACACTTCAATAAAAAGGTAGAAGACATAGGTATGCCTAAGAAAAGAGAAGACGCTGCAGTGTGGCGTGAATTCCAAATCCCCAAATCAAGGAGGGAAAAGTCAAAGATGCTTAAGAATTCTGGAGTGTTCTATCTCACCCCCATCTTTTTCTTTGCTCCTCATTCTCTCCTGTAAGTGCCCAATTGCTTCTTTAGTTGCAAGGGAAGCAGACAGAAAATAAGGGAGAACAAAAGCTCAGAAGAATGAAACTAAGAGCCAGATGGTTAATTCAACTGTGAAGGGCAAAAGGGAGCCCGGAAGACCATGTGGGGAAGATTATTTCAGGGCTCCCAGGACTGAGCAAGTCAGGTGGTATCCCTTTAAGTACTATCTGACTGTGAATGAGTCATTGGAGAGCCACTTTTGGTAAGTTTAGGAATCAAAGCAAAAAAGTTGTCCCACCGCAGATCTGTCCATTTTCTGCAGGGCTAAACGGAAGATTATGGCTTCAGAGCCTGGGCTGTCCTTGTTGGAAGGCACGATGCACCATAGATTTTTTATTTCCACGGACAGACTCCAGCGGTTTGTCGCCTTCCAGACAGCAGCTGGCTCTGGGTAGAGGCATGGCCTTGGGCCACGGGAGCTGCTGGCCATGAGGCTAGTGTTGGCTGCGCGTCCCAGGCAGCTGGGCCAGCACCGCAGCCAGAGCTTCCCATCCAGAGCAGACTCTGGTCCCTTCTGGAAAGGCCATGGGAGCTCCCAACTGGCTGCTCCAGGGCACATTGGGGGAAGAGAAGCTGGTGTGAAGGAAAGGAGGGAGTGGGTTTGTGAAAGGTTGGATCTTCCTGAAATCTCCGGTGCCTGAAGGGGATGAGGTGGTGGCCAAATAAAATGAAGGGAGATTATCCCATTTTGAGTAAGGAGGATTGTTGAATGAGCCCGGGATGTGTCCTGCAACTGTGGATTTTTTATTTTTATTTTTTTGGCAGGAGACTTGACTCAATCAACTGCCTTTTGGTTCCCACGTCAAACACCCCGCCTCCCCGCTAGCCTGTGTTCTGATGGACTCTCGGGACTGGGGGCGCACAGAACCAGACAGAATGAAAAGTCAGCCTCCTTTCGGTCTCCGAGGTGGCTGCTGCACAGCTGATTTGGTTGTGAGCAGGTTGGTGTAGGAGGGGAAAAGCCATTGCTCCAGCGCCTCTTTGGCGAGGTTTGGGTGAGTGCGCTGGGTGGGTAGGAAGAGGGGGAGCAGAGTTAGGCGGGACTATTGAGCTAAGCTCCTCATTTTGCGTCTCAGCGGCATCTCCAGCTCCCAGCATCCCCCTCCCGCTCCCGGGAGGCGCTGGTGGGGAGGAGCGGGTGGGGGATGCCCAGCCGCGCGTGCAGCCCAGCCCTGGTGGCAGCGGGGCTGTCTCTTTAAACGCTCAGAGGAGCCGGGGCCAGAGGGCGGCTAACGCGTTTCCATGGCACCGAGGCCGCAGGGGCTGCGGGGCCGCGGGGTTCGCTGGGTTCCAGTCGCTCGCGGCAGAGCAGGGGCGCGCATCTTGGTGGCCGCGGCGCCTCGGCAGCACCCCGGCCACTCCTCCCGCGCTCCCAGGAGCCTGTGATGCCCAGAGGGGCCAAGCTGCTGCCGAGCCCTCCGCGAGGAGACCCGCCTCGCCAGCCAGTCTCCCAAGCCCCGCACACCAACTTCTGCCCCGCGAGCCCAACTTCTGCTGCGGGCCCGGACTGCGGAGCCGGAGTGGCTCTAAGCGCTCAGCCGGGTGGCGGCTGGAGCAGCTCCGCCCCGCGGGAGATGACCTCGAGGCTGTGGCTCTGGTGCTTGTGCACCTGGGTGGCTGCCGGCTGGCCTCCAGGCAGCGCCATACATCTCCGGCCAGACATGTAAGTAAGTGGATCCTGCGTGCTCCGGGACTTTTGGGGAGAGCGGGGCCCCTTGGTGCCTCTGCTCCACCCCGGACACCCTGCGGACAGTCGGGCGGGATCCTTTCCCCCTGGGAGGGGTGGAGGCTTGAACTCAGCAGAAGGCACCCCGTGGGGGTCTGCAGGCGACCCTGGGCAGAACGCGCAGAAGCGCGGTCCCCGGTGCCTACATAGTCGGGCTTGGGGGCTGGGTGCTTTCCACCTGATTAATACTTTCTCAGCGCCTGAATGATTCCCATCCCCAACCCCCCAGATCTGGGAGTGTGGGTGTGTGCGCAATGTGTGAGTGCCTATGAGTATGGGTGTGTGTGTGTTTCAGTTAATTTGCTGTTTGGAAGAGTAATTGACTAATAAGTCCCACTTTCTGAAAGGGTTTTGAATGAGATCATGTCGAGCAGTGAGTTTTCTTGACATGTTCTTTCTACAGACCATGAGTTGGAGGAAGGTTCTGTGTGTGGGGTGAGGGATGGAGTGGGGAGGGAGGCTGGAGGGGTGATGGGGTTGAGGTCTTGAGGGAGGGGAGTCTGGCTGGAGTATTCAGGAGGAAGGGGATGGGCCTTCCGTGGTTTCGGTAGGCGTGGGTTTTCTGTGGTAGTGCGGGGCTTGAGGGCGGTTGGGGTATTTCGCTGGTCTGATCTTATAGAAGCTCTCTCTCTCTCTCGTCTGCTCTCTTTATTTCTTTCTTTCTTCCCTTACCTTTTTCATTCCTTCACTTCCCCTTCCTTCCTTCCTCCTTTCCTTCCTTCCTTCCTTCCTTCCTTCCTCCTCCTTCCCTTCCCTCCCTCCTCCCTCCCTCCCTCCCTCCTCCCTCCCTCCCTCCCTCCCTTCCTTCCTTTCTTTGTTTCATTCATTCTTTCTTTTTTTGAGAAGTATCTTTGAGTCCAAAGGAGTGGATTATTCCACAGGTTTGATGAGAGGTGAGCCTGGCTCATCTGCTGAAGTGAGGAGCTGGGGGAAGGAATATGTCAGGGATGAGTGCCTGGCCACTTAGATGCTAGCCTCCTTAGGAGAGAAACCAAGAGTGGGAAGATGGCAGAAAGGTATTCTCTGAGGATGGGGCATGCGTTCATTTCCAGATTACAGGTGAAGGCAAGGATATACTAATTCTTGGTCACAGTGGCAAGCATAGGCTGAAGCTCAGGGGAAGTCTAAGTCTTTACAGATTGCCTGGTCGCCTTGGCTGGCTGAAGTTTGCATTGAATTCTGTAGTATCCGGGGGATCGTCATTCAGTTGTCGGAGAGAAGCCAGAGCTAATTCTGCTTTTCCTTTCTCCTCTGAGCAGTTATGAATAGACACCAGAGTATGTTGAACATTTAACATCTTTGTTACCTTGCTATTTCGTTGCTTCATCTTTTATTTTCTGAAATGTGAATATTTTTATAACAGAAAAATGGTTTAGATAAGTACACAGAGCCATCTATATCTTCCCAGAACTTTATATTTTTTCTTGTAAGAAAAATACTAAATTTTCATATTTCATCCTTCTCCTTCAATTTGCTTCCTGGTTACTGCAAATGGCACTAACTCTAGATGTGGAGACACGGCCAAGGTGTTGGTGGCATCACAGAACTTCTTGCCTACATAGTTTGTAAATACATGTTTGGCAGAAATGCAAAGAATTCCTGGGTAGGTGATTTCTCTTGCATTGATAAGATGTGTCTTGTTTATTTTTGACGAGAAGGTTGATTTAGACATTTCCTCTCCAGTTTATCTCAGAAAACACATTTACTTTGGATAGCTTGTGCTTGCATAAGCCTTCATTCCTTAGAAACTGCTTTTTAACAAGCTTGCTGGCTAGCCTCACTCTTACCTTTACAAGTGTCGCTATTAAAGTGGACCCTGGGTTGGCTTATTAGCCACAGATTCATCCCTGCACAGGGGACTAAATAATTCCTTCGGGAGGCACTGAAAAATAACAGAAATATCACCTCACTTTTTGCACTGCTTAACTGTTTTATCTCAGGTTTCAATATTGATATTTCTGTTGAAAAGGCTGGGAGGATGACATTGCATTTTTTTTAAAGGACACTGTTACTGACAGCTCATTTATTTATCAGGTGAGATGAGATTGGATATTAAAACCAATATAAATTCTTTGGTGTTTAATAGAGATGCTCTTTCTGCGGGAGTTATGGAGATGACTCTGATGACTCTTAGTGCTTTCTGAAATCTGGATGGGAAGAAATCCCATCAAATTTGTATTTAGTCCTCCCTGGCATTAGAATTAATAGCTTCCTCAGCAGGGACCATGTTGGGTTTCTGCAGATGCCTTTGCAATTATTACAGGCATGTGGAATACGACCATGTATAGCACTTGGCTTCTACACACCGCCTGTCTATTAAATTAGAAAGAATTTTTCCTAAGATTTTTATGGACCTCCGAGGTCCATTATCAGGGAGAGCAGGCTTCTAATAAGGTGAGGACCAGGAATAGGAATGCATCAACTTACGGTATAGACTGGCACTTATAAGTCATTAACACAGGTAAAAGTTCTATGTAGCCGATCTTATACTTGAACAGACTTTGATGCTGGGGTGACAAGTGAAAAGAAGAAATGACTGTGTAGCTAGATCAAGGTCAGCCTTAATGGAATGCATTTGTATTTATGGTACATTCCTCCACAGGCAAGCTCATTTTTAAAGGAACTTTTATTAATGGATGCTCCAGCTCGAATGATAATTGATCTGTCTGATGACCTTGTCTTATTACATAGAGGAAACCTTGTAGAACTAAGGTTAGGCAGACTCATAAAATCAGTATTCCACAAAAAGTGCCTAAGGACCTACTATGTCAGTTGACATTGGAAATCATAGTTAATACTTAATCCGTTTGAATTCGTACTTAGATTCGAGGCAAATGTCTAGCCCTTTTATTATTTAATTTTATCTTGTAAAAAGCCCTATGAGGTAGAGGTGGACACTATTATCATCTCCATTTATGATGACTAAAGAGACATAGTAAGGTTAAGTTCACACTCCAGGAGGTCACAAGACTTGGTCCAGGTAGTTTGAATTTCAGTGCTGGAGTTCTTAACAAATATGGTCCATTTCAGAGCATCCAGGATTTTTAAAATCACTGACAGAGGTTTTCGAGGGCTGGTACCTGCTACATAGTAAGTATTAAGAAATCTATGGATTTTTTTTTAATGTTGTAAAAACTACAGGATTCTCTTGGCATTTGGTGCTGGGTATGGAAGGGGTTGGGATGCCAGTTGTCCTGCAGTGGGAAGATGGCTCCTCTTAAGGATTATCTGCTTTCTCTCTTCCTCATGGAGACTCTTCCTGAGAAATTACTCAGCTCTCTCATAGCTATAGGTGTTTAAGTATAAAAAGGATGAGCTAGGCTTAAACTGAGAATTGTGGACTGGGGAAAGATAATCTTGGCAATTGCATTATGCATCGGAGTGTTGTAACTGGTAATGACATTTTGATAAAGGGATATTGAAAGAGTTTACTTATGTTAATGGTACTCTGCAAATGTTTTCTAAAGGATTAAATAGAAGAAAATAAACTCTCCTCCAGATCTTTGAAAATGGAAAAGGAAAATGACTGGCTGTAACACAGTCCATTAAAAACGTATCCTTTATAATGCTCTCTTGCAAACACTTGCATAGTTATTGCGTGCAACATGATGGGAAGTAGTCAGCATGGAAGTGTTGCACAGGCAGAAGTGCATAAACACAGAGGCAGTAGCTTCAGTTTCTGGGACTTGAGACACTTGGGTTTCTCTGACCGCTGGGGGAAATTTTAAAAAGATGTGGCCACTTTGTGACTCAGCAGTCTCCTACGCTGATTAGGACATGTCACATCCATTCCCTAGTGCTAGTATCCAATACAGGCAGTTTGGCATGTAAGTCCAAAATACTATGCCTGATAAGATAGCTCTAAGGAAACTTTTTATCCTTAACCTTCTCTAGCTGATACAAAAATGTATGGTCAGGATGGTGGGCATTTTGTTTTTGAAGAATTGATAAATTGAGAAGTAGAGAAAGGCAAGAGGCTATAATAAATCAGAATCATAAAAAGGAATTGAGAAAGTTGTTTCTTGCTTCACACACCATGTTGGGATTTAAATTTTTTAAAAATTTTATTATCATAAAGCCTGCAATTAAGCCAGTTAGAGATGTCTGGCTAATATCAACTTTAAAATTACAAATAATTTAAGTATGGCCTGTGACCTGTCACTTACTCAGAGTGTAAATTAGTTCAAAAATATTTTTCTTTCCTGTGAGATCAGCCACATTAAATGAGCTTACAGTGAATTAGAGAAGGCTGTGTACATTCTCTATGGGCAAGGCATTATTTGCGGCAGTTTGTGTTTAATAATATCTTTAATCGTAACAATGATCTCATGAGGTAGACGATACTATAGTCTCTAGTTTTCAGAAGAAGACACTGAGAGAGAGAGAGGCTAAGTAACTTGCCTTGAAGAAGCTTCATAGTGGGCTTGGTGGGGTGGGCTTGGGACCCATTTTATCCAACTCAGTGGTTCCTAACCTTTTTTAAGCCATGCCCCACTTAAGCATCTCAAAAATACTGATGCCCCCCCCCCCCCCCCCCGTGACATATAATTCTTATTAGTAAGAAAGTGAACTCCTATTCATGTGGAGGAAGCCTAAAAGGCTATGAACCTGGTCTAAACAAACTTCCAAAGGACATGGCATCCATGAAGAGAGAAAAAACAAACAAACCCAAAAAACACACAAAAGGACAGTTGAAGTACTGAGGAAGAAATCACTAAGAAAATTGTTTTTTTTTTTTTTTAAAAAATAATAATATGAAGTGATATGAAAAAATAGCAAATAAAGTTTCAAAACAATACTAGAGAACTGAAATGCATAAATATGTCATAAAATATATTTATATACTATATATGAGGCCCATAAAACCATAAGAAATGCAAAAAAATTAACTGTTAATAATTAATTCTCAAATTGCCCCCCTTAAAAATCAAATTGCC